AAAAAAAAAAAAAAAGAAAAAAGAAAAAAAAATCTGTCCATTGTCATTAAGAGAATTTTGGGCTTTGGTATGGAACCTCAGAGGAACGGAATATGCTTTGAAGTAGGAAGGAAACATAGTATCATGTATCTGAATTGATACATGACATCATATCAGCAGCAAATTTCTGAGAATTTTGTAGAAATGCAGTCATTCTTTTTTTTTTGAATTGAGACGGAGCTTTGCTCTGTCACCCAGGCTGGAGTGCAGTGGCTTGATCTCAGCTCACTGTAACCTTCACCTCCCAAGTTTAGTGCCTCAGCCTCCCTAGTAGCTGGGATTATAGGCACGTGCCTCCACGCCCAGCTAACTTGTATTTTTAATAGAGACGGGGTTTCACCATGTTGTTGGCCTTGCTGGTCTCGAACTCCTGACCTCTGGATTATAGGTGTGAGCCACTGTGCCTGGCCCATTCTAACACAGTTGGAAAGAGAGATTGAACTGTGGGTAAAAATGCCTTGAACTGTAACAGTATCAGATTTCCAGTCAAATATCAGAAAAAAGAAGTATTGAAGAGGGGAGGAGAGCTGTAGTAGTGTCAGAGTGCTGAGAACAGTGAGACATTTGTATTGAAAAGTAAAGTGAGGTAGTTGAAGATAGTTTGGAAAGGAAAATAGGTAAACTAACCATAAAGGTAAATCAGAGTGGTATTGAAAAGGGCTTTCTAAGTTGTGTAAGGATTTCTGACCCTTGTCATGTAATGATAAGTAGGGCTGGGAGCCTTTGGAAGTTTGAAAGGAGGAACTTGGTGTGATCAGTTTGTGTTCTCTTGGCAGATAGGATCTGTCACGGGAGTGATTTCACCACTTAGATGTTTATTATGGAAGTCATTCCCCTGCTTAAAACCTTTAAATTATATCCCTGCCTGTCTCTCCAGGATAGTTACTCATACTTCAACTACTGCAGCCTTATTTTATTTTATTTCTTCAGGATGGTTATCTTCATTAATTGCTAACACTTAGCATTTATTATATGGCAAAACAGTGAAGCCATTTATATACATTAAGTGATTTAATTCTCATAATAATCTTATAAGGTTAATACCTCTATTATCCTCATTTGAAAATACGAAAAACGGATCTGATCATTGATTTCCTTGTTCCCTACAAGATTGTAAGCTCTGTATGAGAAAGGACTCTATGTTTTGCTCATGATTATTTCCCTGTATCCAAGATAATACTAGACACACAGTAGGTGCTCAATAACTATTTGTCAATTGAATAAGTATATCAAGATTTCAAAAGAATAGGAATGAATTTGAAAGACACTTAGGATGTAGAATTTTAATTATTTACAGATCAGTTAGATACGGAAAGAATGAAAGGTGACTTTAGGGTTTGGGCAGTGATACCTTTAATCTGGGTTGGGAGGAGGAGAAGCCAGTTTTGTGCAGAAGAGATGTCAGGTAGTCAGTTGGAAATGTGGGTCTTTCACTCAAGAGCTGAAAGCTGATGATGAAGACTTGGGATTTATTCAGAAAATATGGAGCACTTGCCATGTCCCAGTTACTGTGAGTGCTAGGGATATAGCAGTGAACAAGACAGACAAAATCCTTGCTCTCATAAAGCTTGTATTTTACTGAGGGAAGGCAAAATAAAAAGTAAAATGTATGGTATGTCAAATGGTGATAAGGCACATAGAGAAAAGTAGGAGACGGGGAATAGGGAGTACAGTGGAAAGGGTATTGTAATTTTTTTTTTTTTTTTTTGAGACGGAGTTTCACTTATGTTACCCAGGGTGGAGTGCAAGGGCACGATCTCGGCTCACCGCAACCTCCGCCTCCCGGGTTCAGGCAATTCTCCTGCCTCAGCCTCCTGAGTAGCTGGGATTACAGGCACGCACCAC